CCGTTCGCTACGCACTTGACGCTGAAGTACGCGCTGAGGATGGGATCGAACGCGCTGCTGCAGACGGCGTTTAAGGACTCGGAGACGGGGAAGATCTCGAATCGGGGGCGAGTTTTGTCGGGGTTTGGTGCCGGGGTTCTTGAAGCCCTAGTTATCGTCACTCCTTTCGAAGTGAGTTTATTATTATTATTATTATTTGTAAGTATTAAGTTCAAAGCCGTAAATTTACCATGAAATTTCTAATGGTGAAATTAGCTTAACGCCAGGGTAAGGGTGTCTTTTTTAGTTTAGTCTACACGTTGTGATGTGCAATGCAATGAGCTAATTTGATGCTGTGATTATTGTTGATGCTCAATATTAAACAGAATAATCCAGAAGAGGATGGTTGCGGGGTGATGAAGGATGATTGAGGGGATCGCTTCCTTCCTCGACTTTATGGCTTGGCCACTGAGTTAGAGTGAACGATTTGCACAGAAGAATGTCATGAGAGGGCGGGTGGTGATTCTCCCGTGATATCTCCGACAATCAAGTTAGTTGATAAAATTGAGCTTGAGTGGAGTAATAGCACTATGTGTTCTTATGCTATGTGCATTAGAGATGATGATCTCTGAGATTTAGGTCAGGAGGAGAGTTTAGATTGTGAACATTTGGCTATGGTGAATAGCATCTGTATATAAAGAGGATGTCAATGGCAGATTGGTCACTTTGATCATGCAAATGATTGTGACAAAGTGTGAGCTGGAATGTGAGTCATCCTTTGCTCTACATGTGTCGGCCGGCGACAGAAGGAAGATCACTTCGATCTCGATTTGAGGAGTGATCGATGGAACGTGGGCTGATAAGTGGCGTGATGACGCATGGTCTTTGAGTAGACATGATATAACTTGTTGTCAGGATGGATAAGCTTTGGCGAAGTTATCTTCTAGCTTCGCTGAGAAGCAATGTCCCCCATGATGGGACTCACGAGGAGAGTCGACTCGTTGAGAGGAGTGACGACTCAAAGACTGCTGGCTGAATGGAGTCGGGTAACGACTCGTATCGCCTTTCGAATCGACATGGAGGAGTATCGACTCGACTGGGCTCTTGACGAGTTGCCTGCTGCGAGAGGGCCGACTGATACCGCCTTTCGTGTCGACATTGATGAATGTCAACTCGTCTGGTCGGCTGAGTCGGACTGCTAGCTGATCTCTAGCTATCTCTTACGTAGGTCAAGATGTCGACTCGTCTGGGAGGTCAGGATGTCTTGTGTCGATTAGCACCGCTTCTCGTGTCAACATTGGGGTGTCGGCTTGTGTGGCTGGATGAAGATGGCGACTCATCAGATCATATATTTGGAAATAGTTATACTCTATAACAGTTAGCCCCTTTCGCTTGGAGTCGGTTTTAACCGAGTCCAAGTGAAATGAATAAAGCTCTGGACTGAAGTTAGGATTGCTGATTGCTTCGTAGCATTGCTCTGATCGAGCTAACCAAGTGGCAATTCTTGAGTTGGTCGTGTTGTGTCGACCTGAATGTTGCTAGTCGGCTTTACAACTGGCTCATATTACGCCTATTGTGGGCAAGATGCTCGGGTCTTGTGTCGACGAAGACTGACAAGTTGAAGTGCTTTAAGTCTCTTTGCCGAAGATAACCGGGCAATTGAAATCCATGCCTTGAGTTTACTCATGATGATACCAATGTTTTAATGGTAGAATGATGATTTGATTAGGTCTCACTTTGGGCCTAAGTCTTCATAATCCTCGTATGGCCGAGAGGTGACTGTGAGAGTCGACCATAGAGTTGTGTCTTGGGCTTACCCTGATAAAAAAATATAGGTCTTGACAATGATGATCGATGAGGGTCAGAGGAATCAATCATATGTTATGCCTTGGGCTTACCCTGATAAAGAGCTAAGGGTTTTTGACACGTCAGCCCGGAGGTTGGGTCGCCTAGGACTTATTTTGGTGCCTAGGGCTTCACCATGATGGTTGATGAGAATTAGAGGATCCAACCACATATTGTGCATTGGGCTTACCCTAATAAAGAGCCAAGGGCTTGGAATCCGACTGAGGAGTCGAATGCTTAGAACTGTGAGGAGAGTTGACTAGGGCTTTTCCTCCCCTATGACCAAGAGACGACTGTGAGGGTCGGCCAAATGGTTGTGCCTTGGGTTTATTCCTGATAAGGAATCAAGGGCTTGCTCTAGAGTGCCTAAGGCACGGCTGAAGAGGACTCTGTGGCTTTGGTTGCCACCTTATAGGCTCGGGCATCTTTCATGTCAATGTATCCATGAGCTCAGGCCATCAATTGCTCATAATTGGCGACTGACTTCTTAGCCAAAAAGTTGGCCAATGCATTGCTCTGCAACCCTGTTACGAGTGCCGACATGGTGACTGTGCTTTCAGGATCGTTGACTTCCAACCTCTTAGTTTGGAATCTCTTGAAGTAGGCTCGAAGGCTCTCTTCTGGTGCTTACCTCATTTGGATCAGCACATGAGGGGAGAGCTTCTGCTTGGTGTTAGTTAGAAAGTGGTGGATGAACTTTCGACTAAGCTGTCGAAAATTACTGATGGATCTTCTGCCCAAAGTGTTCCACCAAAGTTTAGCGTTTTCTGTGAGGGTGATAGGGAAGCACCGACAGAGGATTGCTTCAGAAACTTGGAGCATACTCATTATGTCATAGTAATTCTGAATATGCTCGGAGGGGTCTCCCTCACCCTTGTATGTCTCCATGAGAGGCATCTTGAACTTATCACTGAAACATTCATAAAGTCGTCTGAAAGGGGGTTGTTACTCCCGAAGACGCTTGTGATCGGTCTGTTGACTCGATCGTATCCAGAGCCTCTAATGGTAGGACTCTCGCCGGTGAGTTCCTGATGAGGAAGGAGACATCGGCGAGTTGACCGATGGGGTGCAAAATTTGCTTGTTACGGCTGTGGAAGCCGGCTGAGAAGCTTACCAGTGAAGGTAGCAAATTGCTCTTGGCAAGATTGATGAATCATATGAGTTGTTGATTCAAGCTGGGCTTGAGTAGCATAGCTTTGATGAGGTCCTTTAGGACGAGATCGCTCAGCTCTATCTTCAGAACTAGACATGTTCTTTTAAAAAAGAAAGAGGATCCCACGGTGGACGCCAGACTGTTGATGCTCAATATCAAACAGAATAATCCAGAAGAGGATGGTTACAGGGTGATGAAGGATGATGGAAGGGATCGCTTCTTTCCTTGACTTTATATCTTGGCCATTGAGTTAGAGTGAACGATCTGCACAGAAGAAGATCGTGAGAGGGCGGGGTGGTGATTCCCCCATGGTACCTCTAACGATCAAGTCAGTTGATGAATTTGAGCTTGAGTGGAGTAATAGAACTATGTGTTCTTATGCTATGTGCATTAGATATGATGATCTCTGAGATTTAGGTCAGGAGAAAAGTTTAGATTGCGAACCTTTGGCTATGACGAATAACATCTGTATATAAAGAGGATGTCAATGGCAGATTTGTCACTTTGGTCATGCAAATAACGGTGATAAAGTGTGAGCTGGAAGGTAAGTGATGAGGACATCCAGGCACGTGCATGGGACTTTCGCCGTGTTTATCAGCGTAGGAGACGTCGTATTCCAGCCGCACATCAGATCGCAGGGATATAGTTTTGACAGTTTAGAAATTTTAGTTTTTTTTCAGTTAGTAGTGATTTCAGATTAGAGTTATTAGTTATTTAGTTGTTATTGGATAAGATTGAGAGAGATTAGATTGAGCTTTTAAATTCTGTAATAATCTCTATATAAACATGATTTGTAATCAGAGTTAGGATCAATGAAAATTATTGAGATTTAGTTGAAATTATCTGTGACTTGAACGTGTGAAACGTGGGTGTGAAACCCTAGATCTCTGTTCCTCTTCCTGCCCAAGCCGCCGCCGCCGCTCCTCCTTCCCCTCGAATAGCCGCCCAACTCCGCCGCCCCTCCCCAATCGATCGTCTGCCCTCGTTTTCCTCTCAAGTTCGAAGCAGCCCCTGAAGCCCTAGTCGCGCCAGCGCAAGCTTCTCCTCCGATCGGAGTTGAACCGAACAGGTTTTTGGGCCTAGGTCTTTGAACAGACCCGATCACTATATATATTTTGGATCTGGTCTACTTTGGTTCATTGAGTTTGGTTCAGTTTGGTTCAGTTTGGTTAAGTGTGATCTAAATTTTGAGTCGTGAACCATTGGTGTATGGCTGACCCTGACGCTGAAGACAACGACCTCGTGCTTGACCCAGAGACTGGTATTGTTGATCTGCAGCTTTCTTCGTGGTTCGATTACCGGACGTCCGAGAGTGTTCCTGAATACGTCGAACGCGTGACTCATCAGCTTGTAGACAGTGTGGAGAGCAGTTTGGGAATTAGTTCTTGGCACCAGCATTTTCATCCAGATACGCCGCTTCATCCCAACTACGTAGCTCTCGGAGGAGAACTCCCGCCACTCACATTTGGAGTTTTTACACCGCCTCCAGAGGATCCTCCCATCGAACCAGTCCAACCCGACGAAGGTTTAATTTTCTTACGCCCAAGTATTTTCGGAATTGCTATTGCGTGCATGTTATTCTCAATCTTAGTATCAATTGCGATTATGCTGTATTCAGTTTGAATAGTGAGCGAGTGATTCTGCTGCTGAGTATTTTTGCTTGTCTAAATATTACAAATTGAACTGTATTAAGAGAACAAATCATTACATTAATTATCGAAATAATTTTACAAAGGTTCAAACTTAGTACATTGCAACTTTTGCTTAAAACCCATCTTTCGCTTCATTTTATTCTTGAACTTCCTGTCTAGATTGATCGCTGATTTGGTGAAGCATTGTTGTCGCTGATCTTGCACCTGCATTCACATTGTTTCACATCAGTAAGTCATCGTTTGCTCTACATGTGTCGGTTGGCGACATGAGAAAGATCACTTTGGCCTCGATTTTGAGGAGCGATCAATGGGACGTGGGCTAATAAGCGGCGTGATGACGCATGGTCTTTGAGTAGAGATGATATGACTTGTTGTTAGGATGGATAAGCTTTGACGAAGTTATCTTCTAGCTTCGCTGAGAAGCAATGTCCTTCATGATGAGACTCGCGAGGAGAGTCGACTCGTTGAGAGGAGTGACGACTCAAGGACTGCTGACTGAATGGAGTCGAGTGATGACTCGTCCCGCCTTTCAAGTCGACATG